TTCTGTGGCCACGGATTTGCGGGTCTTGTCTTTTTCTTGCAGGACCCTGTATGTTATAGTACTAAATTGGTTTTAATCGTTTAATCACCACTACAGCTTCTTGTCTCCATTGGCAACACGCACGATTTGTGTCGATTGCAAGTGACGTCGCAGGTATCGGAGAGTGCAAGTGGCGATTGCAAGTGACATTGTAATTTAGTTTCTTTTTTCTTGTCTTCACCACCTGGCTACTGTTGTAAAATGTTGAGAGATTCAAACAAAAAGTAATCAATAAATAAAACAAAATAAAAAATAAAAAAGACTGCAAGTGATGTCGCTAGCGGAAGCGCAAGTGTCTGAGAGTGCAAGTGCAAGGCTGCAGCCAGACCCTTCTCTTCAAACGGGCGGATTACAAGGTTTCTGGTCTCGTGAAGGCGCTTCGAAGAGGAGTTCGTCGTTCCGAACGAGAATAAACAACTGAATCCTTTCACAAGGCTGTTATCAAAGCAGACTGCGTCTCAGTCAGTTCCCTAGGAAGTGAATCACTAGATCGTGCACACGAGTCCCTGCACTGGTAAAGAGACCATGGCTTAGTAAACATTGGGACAATTATCAATCAATTTGTAAAACGTCACCACTGGTATTTATCAACAACAGGCAGGCATATTTTGATATTATTTTAATGCTGTTTAAGGTAGACTTATAATATGAAATGTGCATGTTCTGTTACAAATCCTTGCAACTAATGAACAGTCAACATCAATGCTCCCTGTGTTGTGCGATGGATTTAGATTTTTTGTGTGCCAAAAAAAATGGTTGCAACTTCTGTTTCATTAGTTTCATCACTAACTGATATTACATTTTAAATGATTTAAAAGGCATCATTTAATTTCTTGAGATAAATTAGATAAATTATATCCATCAGGGTGTGGCCAAAGGTTTCATTGGTGCTTTCTCATCATTGCAAGTTTTCAGATGCTGGCCAGTCACTTCTTCCAAGGCTCCAAACACTGCCATGTGACCAGACTGCTCCACTGCAACTACACAGTGTGTGTGTACTATCAACACTAAGATTTAAGGTAATATGTGTAAAAGTTTAGAGTGTTTACTACAATTAAAATGTGCTTTATTGTTCTCAGTGGCATCTACGCTAATATTAGACTGTCTCATTCTTATTCCGAGGTCACCGTAGCCACCAGATCCAGTCTGTATCCAGATCAGATGGTGGATCAGCACCTAGAGACGCCCTCTACATCCCTAAATGTCAGCGGAGACCAGGACAACTAGATGAGCCCCAGAGACAGATCCCCTCCGAAGACCTCGTCACCTAGACCAGTCCTCTGCACAATCTGACCTGTGTTGCAGCCTGCA